CTTAACAATTCTGTTCATATTACTTTGTGGCCAACGACAAAAAATGGTAATCTTACTAATTTTGAGCAAGGTAACAAAGGATCTGGGCAGAGTTTTAACCTTAAAATTACACGACACAAGACAATACTTCTTTATAAATGAAACAAGAATTTATTGGCTATTCTAGATTACATTAAACTAAGCTAAAACACACACATACACACAAAAGGTTCAGGAAAATTAGTTAATGGAGTTTGCATGAAGTTCCCAAAGTTCTAACAAGATATTCGCTATAGTTCTTGCAACCTGAGAAAATCACAAAGCAGAGATTTGTCTTACGTTTACTGCCTAATGAGTTCAGCACCGATTTCAGCAGATAGACGACCTTGTTCGTTACTTGCGTTTGTGACAGCTGAGAAGCTTCCTTGTTGGCTGCTTGAGGGAATCCCGGGCTTTTGATTGGTTGCTGATCGGGTGTCTGGATGATGTAGTTTCTGGGAATGCCCTCCGGAGATTGGTTGGTTTCCTGGTGACGCAGATGCTTTGGCAGTTCTTCTGAGAGAGTTTAAGTTTGCAAGACTTTCGAAGATCTCTGGCATTCACGAAGCTTCAACGGAGTGTTTGAGTTCTGGATGACCGATTGCTTGATGGTGCAGCTTGTGAGCGCAAGTTGGAGCGCGATTGCGATTGCATCCGTTTTGCATTGGGTTTTTGATCCGCTGCATAAGTCCGTCCCCCAGATCGTTGTTCCAATCAGACATTACTTGCCAGGCTTAGCCACGCCCCACACTGTTCCCTGATCAGGCATGGGTCACATGTTTCCCGTGGGGAGTATTTCTGGAAGTTTTAATAACTTCTAATAAACAATATTATCACCAGAAAATGATGCCGGATACCAATTTTTCATTCACGCCAATGTTCGGCGAATAAAGCAACCTTTCATTCAAACTCAAATATCGGGTAGTTTGCATACACATAACCCCTTTTAGTAGATAAAAGTATTAATAAAACATTGACTAAACGTCATAGTTACAATAACACATCAAACAGAAAGCATATTATTTGTGAATATAGTTGCCCTTTTATACTTAAAACTTACAACAGACAATTTCAAAAGACAATCATTTATGTCCCTTTGTCTGACCGAAGGAGAAAAAAGGGTGCGTCCCTTTTGGAATGCAGGGAGAAAAGGGGAGAGGTCATATATATACACACACACACACAGCATGGCAAGCAGTAATTAAAATGACAATAGATAATATTACACTCGGGGATGTAACAATAAGAAACTAAACAAAAAATCTGTTATGCATAAACTAACCCTTTACACTAGTGAAAGTGAAAGTGTAAAAGTGAAGTGTGGCCAAGTATGACCCATACTCTTAATTTGTGCTCTGCATTTAGCCCATCCAAGTGCACACACAGTAGTGAACACACACCCGGAGCAGTGGGCAGCCATTTTTGCTGCGGCGCCCGGGGAGCAGTTGGGGGTTCAGTGCCTTGCTCAAGGGTCTCACCTCAGTCGTGGTATTGAGGGCGGAAGAGAGCGCTGTACATTCACTCCCCCCCACTGAGACTCACCGAGACTCTGCCAGACCTGAGACTCAAACCCGCAACCTTCTGGTTACAAGTCCAATTCTCTAACCATTAGGCCTGCCCACTACACTAGAACTTAAATCATAGGGTAGTATATTATTAAAAAAAATTTCATTTAAATTATGCAACTAGACGTTGCCAAAATATACTAAGGTGACTTAGAAGGAAACTGATTGCAGTAAAACTTTCTAGTTCATTATTTTTGAGTTAATAAAGCAACTTAATACAACTTTGTAGAGATAACTTGTTTTGTTTTTACTATTTTCTGATTATTTTTAAATTGTTTGTCAGAAATAGTAATCTCTTCTGTAATGCTAAAAGTATTATTGTTGTAATTATTTAGTTTTGCATGCTGAATGTTAATGTGTGTGTGACACAATTGAAGTCACTTGCAAGATATTATTTAACAAATTAATAGTGTGACATATGTATAATTACACAGGTGTTAATATTAATATATCATAACTTTATCCACATCAGATGTGCAATAGTTAATGATTTAGTTTGATGCTAGATCTTTTTCAAAACCAGCCCATTTATATCAGACTACTTAATACTCATTATTTGAAAGTACAGATAACTATGATTTTTTTGTAAAGTACTGAGTACTGGTAGGAAGATAATTATTATACATTTATAAATGTACAATTCCAGGTGCCCAACCAAAGGGAACACTAATCAACCATAATGGTGACTTAAGGTGTCAAACAAAACGTCTCGGGTTACGCATGTAACCATGGTTCCCCGAGAGGGAACGAGACGCTGCGCCCCCTAGGGGGCACATTGGGGAATGCAGCCTGCATGACTGGTGTCTGAAGCACATGTGAAACAACGCCAATCTATTGGCCCATCTGGCTCATGACGTCATCGGCGGGATGCCCAGAAGTATAAAAGGGCACCTGCTGAATACGTCATCCACTTAGCTGTCTGAAGGAGACGTAAACAGGCAGGCCGAAGGCATGGCAAGGGGGCGCAGCGTCTCGTTCCCTCTCGAGGAACCATGGTTACATTCGTAACCCGAGACGTTCCCCTTCTAGGGAACTCGACGCTGCGCTCCCTAGGGGGCACATTGTGGAATGAAATCCAATCACGCTGTGCCGAGGCGCATGCCTGTCCACCTGGGGCCCGTTCTTCGTACGTCGCTAACTCAGTTAGCTGGATTTGATTGTTGACGATTTGGCATGATCTTGGATTGTTTGGTTCATGTATTGTATTGTTTGGTCTTAGCAAAGATCAACTGGAGCCTCAAAGTATTTCATCAGGACTCTCTTGTCCAGTGCTCTTAGCCACTTACCTCTTGGACATTCAGTGCGACCACAATCTGGTGCTGGCAGGACATCAACAATTCATGTTGCAACTTTCCACCTGGGAGAGAAATCTCCTGACCACCACCAAGTCAGAATAACATCTTTGGAGTTCGTCACAACCCAGAAGAACATGATCGCAACTCCAAAATCATCAAACTGTTGAACCATCAAGACTTTCATCCGAGACTGCATCCAGACGCTCATTCAACGGCAAAGGCAATGCAAGTATTGTACATTTGACAAAACTAAACAGAGGTTTAAAATAAATTGTGGGCCCCCTTGTTACCAAGGTGCTGATGATTCTGTGCAGATGGTTAAATTAATCTTTCATTCATTCACTTGTACTTCCCCTTTTCTCCCATCTATGTATGTATGCGTGAGTGTGTGTATATGTTTGTTAGACTAGTTATGTGTTAGTGTTTAGTCAATAAAACTTTGTGCACAAATTACATGAGTTTCTGATTCTGTCACTGCTTGCAGATCAATGTCTCTTAAACAATTCCTGATCTTGCTTCATGCTCTAATGCAGGGGTGGCCAAGGTTGGTCCTGGAGAGCCACAGTCCTACAGACTTCAGCTCCAACCCTAATCAAACACACCTGAACCTACTAATCAAGGTCTAATGGTTACTAGAAAGCTATAGGCATGCTCTCCAGGACCGATGTTGGCCACCCCTGCTCTAATACATTAGTACTGTAAGAAAGTTATTTTCTGTGACCATGAAAATAACATTTCTTAGAGTTAATATGATTTAACACTGAATGTTCACTGGACAAACAGATTAGTCAATTATGATATTAATTCTGCTACAAATACATCTGGAAGCTAAGATAAAAAATATATATAATTATAATTATTTGTTATTATTTATAGACATTTCCCTTTTGAGCTAATTTGCTACAAAGGCTTGTATATACCTCAGAAGAAAAATTTAATATGACTTACGGCTTGATCCAGCAGAGAATATCATTTGACAAATAATTTTTCTTATTTGCATTAAATAACATGTTATTGTGACATACAATTTTCCATTTTACTAGTTGTATATTGTCTCCAGTGTAGAGAGCATAATTGCTTATAATGGGTTCTATTTGCTTCTGATGTGACATGAAGGTTACATCCAGTATAGACAGGTGTTAGGTGTTAAGTGACTGAGCACCAGTGTGCGGGGCCTATTGTGCAAATATATTTGCCAGTGTGATATCACATGTAACATTTGTAAAAGTGTAAGTGTATTTTTCCTGCGCAACAATAATTAAATATCTGATGACTCAATAAGTGCAATTTAACTTAATTCTTCAAGGTGGCACTGTTTCAATCATAATTACCGCAGGCATAAAACAATATAATATCATCAGCAAAACTTGAATTGGCTTGAAAGGCTTTACTGCAGAGCAATTACTGTATGAAATGAAATATAATTGTCACTGTCATTTGATGGTGGATGTGGTGAATAAGCTGCCAGCGGTCAAAATTTTGAAGATTTTGAAGACATTGAAAACGATAGTTTTGAGAATATGGTTGAGATCGCAAATATGAGCCAGAAGCTGTATGTACTGGGGAAGTGTGTTCTGATGATGACAGTGATGGTAAAATCATTTGCTCAAATTGAACCCTTCCAAGTTTCAAATGGCAATGAAATCTGCTTTATTTTATTCTTTTGTAACTGTTATTAAAATAGCAGGAAAGTTTTACGCTATTGCAACAGTTTAGTGTTCCATCTATGTTAGATATATAGGTCCAGATCGCTTAACAACCGAATATGTAATAATGATTGGTGAAACAATCATGCATTTAAGGGTTAAGGCAATCATGTGATATGAATTGAGTGTGCCTGTGTCTTAATGTGATGTATACATAAAGGATAATGAGCAATTAGCCAGTCAAAAAATCTTGACAGGTGATGAGCAGCCTGACATGGCTACTCACCAGATAAATAAATACATGAACATAAAATGGAAAATAGAGAAGGATTCAGAATAATTTACATAAAAATAAATGAAATAATGGAATTCCATAAATAAATATTTGTATTTCAGAAAAAAACATAACTGTTATGAATGTTAAATGTCAGAAGTCATTTTATATTAATGAAATACTGATTCATTATTCTGTTTAGATTGGTGACCTGTAATCTCACTGGTCAATGCTGTGAAAGTCTGTCGTCAGCTCTACAATCGTCAAGCTCATGTTTGACAGAGCTGGACTTGAGTAACAATGACCTGCAGGATTCAGGAGTGAAGCTACTCTATGCTGGACTGAAGAGTTCTCACTGTCAACTGAACATATTAAGGTATCTATAAACACAGAAAAAAATATACTACACTAATCTTAGCTTTCTGATATGATTCATATATTTCCAGACTCTTACTCAAGATGTTACATAAAAAATCATTCAAAAAGGGTCATTAATACTAGTCAAATAGTAATACTTAATACACTACTGTATTGATTAGCCTCACTGTACTGTAAATTTTACTCAAAATACTAGTGTCTGTATCATTTAGGAACTACATTAGATATATAAATGTAAGTGACTGAGTTGGATGTTACTATGGCAGAGTTCTGTTACCTAGGAGTTACGCAGGTGTGGAAGTAACAAATTTAGTGCTGAGAAATGATTAAAATTTTTAATCGCGTGATTTTCTGCGATTAATCACATTATGCACAAAATTCAATAATGAATTCAAAAGTAGTGTATTGTGCACTTTTTTTTCATTTAAAAGTACTGCTATATGAACAAAAGTGCAATAACATTTGGTTTGCAAACACTTTAAACAAATAAGGTGCTTTTTTACAGCAGTATTCTTTTTACTATGGATGCACCGATACCGATATCGGCCCGATACTGGTCTCCTGTACTCGTACTTGTTAAAATACGCCGATACCACACAGCATTTGATAAGCGCCATATTCAAACAAAGAAACACCGACAACAGAACAACAGACAGCAGAAAGGAGTTAAGGATGTCTACTATGAAGTATATGTATGCAATGAATATAATGTTAAACATTCAGTATTAACGCCTGTATAGCTGATGTGCATGAGCTTATAAACAAAGCACGCTGAGTGGATTGGGTGCAGATGCGCGAGCTTGTCGAGTGAATATATCTTTCTCACAGACATCACTGGAAAGTTTGTAGTTCGGTCGGATATGTCAAAAACAAGTAAGTAAAACAATGCACAAGTTACTTAACGGTAGGGAGCGAGAGCGCAAGCGCAATTCTGTTGTATGATCGTTGATGTTCACTCACTAAGCACACGCATCATTTGGATTAAAACTAAATCGTAAAAATAAGACAATTTATAGGGGTATTCACTATAAACATAATTTATTTTCAACCTTAGGCACACAACTATACAGTGAAGCCAAAAATTATTCAGAGACCAGATATGTTTGATATTGTTTTACTAGTGGGTGCAGGACACTATAGTTCATTTATGTAAGTGAGGATAGCAAAATAAAGTAAACTGTGACAAATCAGTGGACTACCAGTAAAATTTATACAAATTTGGGTCCAAAAATTATTCAGACCATCTGGGAAAAAAATTATAGTTCAGGTTTGCATTAACCTGGTTGACAGCATGCCCAGGAGACTGCAGGCTGTCATTAAGGGTAAAGGTTGCCTGACAAAGTATTCATAGTTTTGTAAATACTGTCATACTAACAGCTGTCTGAATAATTTTTGGTTGATTGTAATCTATTACATACCTTTCTATCAAAGTTATCTAACATTATCAAGACAAATTTGTTCTGACACAAATTAGTTCTGAGTTCTTGTCATTTTATTACCATTTTCTAAACTATATAGCGAATAAACTGTGATAATGTGAGATGTTGAAGGTGTCTGAATAAATTTTGGTTTCACTGTATCTATTTGATAAATGATGTTAACCAACTAACATTATACATACCCTTTTGGTTTCTGTACCCAATATTTAAAAAATGTACAAATGCAATAAAAATATCGGTATCGGTACTCGGTATCGACAAGTACCAAAAATAAAAGTATTGGTATCGGGCGAGTACTGGAAAAAGTGGTATCGGTGCATCCCTAATCTTAACCAATAAAGGTTCAATGGCAAGAGTGTACAATATCCCAGAAAGAGCACAACCTTGTCTAATACCTCTATAAATTTTAAAAGGAGCACTCAGACCTACATTAATTTTCAGTACACTCTCAACATCCTGGTACAAAACCTTAATCATGGCAATAAAACCAGACCTGAAACCGAACTCCTCTAACGTACGCCAGAGATAGCTGTGCTCAACCCGGTCAAATGCCTTTTCCTGATTTAAAGAAGTGACCCTCTTGTCCACAACCAAAACACTTCATCGATGCAAACATAATTTTATCAAAATCCTCAATCCTAAACTTCATGGCTAAATTTAGCTCTTTGTTTTGATTATTTAAGATCATATGCACCTGCCTCCTAAATGATACAACATATTTCAACTGTGGCAATTTACAACTGAGTGAGATTTTCTTAATCTTGACACAAACTTTCTGTGTCTTGACAATTCTCTTTCAATCACTTCATCTTTAATAAACAGCAGGACATTTGACAATATTACTCTTTTTGCTGGTTATACTAAAGGAGTAAGGGAATCATTCACAACAATCCCGGTCTCTACGACTTCATTCACTTTATCAATATTGTTCAAAAACATTACTACTGCGCAATTCATTCTAGATGCAGAAAGAATGCAATCATGACCAACAACAGCAGCAACAGTGAGGACACAGACCTCAACTGAACAACGCTCCGCAGGCATGAGCTTAACGCCATGCCGTCGAGTTAAACTTTCCAAACTCGCGTACTGAAACGCTGCCAAAGAAACCAAGAGAGGGAGAGAAAGCAGAGCCCCTAAGAAGAGGACCCCATTGAAGAGAGATCGCTAGCCAAGAAAAGAGACAGAGCAATAGTTACAATATTCTTTTATCCAATCCTTGACCATGTGACTAAAACCCAAATGTGAGACATTCAAACTGACCAATCAGCAAATTACAGCTTTCCCCACCATATAAAAGGTGTGACAATTAGCAGACCCCCGATGTACACATCTTGGCCTACAAGCTTTGATCACTATCAGCACCACTGTAACTTTAGGAATTCCAAATGGCCTTTTTGTTACAGAGGATAGGTTTGGGGCTGAAAAGCAAAAGTCTTTGATCATTTTCAACTCTACAGTAACGAGCCGCTTCAGACCCAGATTTCAGTAATGAGTCCATTCCGGCCCCAGAGTCTGAATCTTCATCAGAGCCTGCTCATACCAGTGCGTTAACTCTAAATGTACCTACAGTCCTTAGGTCCATATGAGAATTCCCCCCAGACCTTCAATCCACTCTAGAGCACAGCTCAGATTCAGCTACAGCCCCTGACCAGAGTCCATTGATGGCTCCAACCTACCCTGTCACAGCCAAGGGGGCTGTCTCTGAACTGTCAGCCTGTCCAGTCACAACCAGGGAAGTGATCTCTGAGCTCACAGCCTATCCTGTTGCGGCCAAGGAGGCCATCCCTGAATTTCCTGTCTGCGACCAAGGAGGTCGTTCCTGAGTAACCTGTCTGTCTGAATGCGACCACTGAGGTCGTCACTAAGATTACTGTCTGTCTAAATATGACCACGGAGGTCGTCCCTGAGTTTCCTGTCAGTAGGGATGTGACTATGGAAGTCGTTCCCAAAGTTCCTGTCTGTCTGTCTGTCTGTAACAAAGAAGTCAGTCCCGGGGTCGGCTTGACTGTTACTGGTGGTTTTTATTCATTTTTTAGTAAACAAACAGAACATCGCGCTACCAGCGCTCAATATAACACGGTTCATAAGCAATAATCTTGGGGCTCTCCAGTAGGGCTGAACGATTTTGGAAAATAATCTAATTGCGATTTAATATGCAAATATTTTTTAAAGCTCGTTATGTTCTTTATTACTCAACAAAGACAAGCTATAAATCATTGTATAGTATAACCAACACAATATTAGATAGATTAAACATAAATGTTCTTTTCTGTAGGCCAGGCCTATATGTTACGATGAAATTAGGTGATGCATGAATTGATATGAATGACATTTTTATTTAACAACTACAATCACAGTATATTGACTGATTTGTTGAACTTCCAACCTTGTAAGCATGTAATAAGTATGACAACATAATGCTCTGACAAATAAGCCTGGTGTAATCATTAATATGAAAGTCACTAACAAATCACACAAACTAAAGTAGATTGCAGAAATATAAAAACAAATCTGTTGCTTTACCACACTACTTTAAGTAATTCAAAGTCACTGTAATAAACGTATGTAAACATGTGGACTGCACTTTTTAAACACTGTCTGTTAACTTTAGACCAGTAGTTCTCAAACTTTTTTGGTCGCGTATTTGTGGGTTTCATGCTGTCCGCTAAGGCATAGGACACACACAGGCTTTCCTCCTCACCAACGACATTAAACACCATGTCTACACCGGACGCAAGCGGCAAAATACAGTAGTAGAACCCAACCCATTATAATCAGTGACGCTGTCTACACTGTGTGCGGCGTGGTACGACACGACAAAACCCGACATTAAACTGATGCCTTGTTCTATTTATGACGTACTGACACAAAGTTAAAATGATTTGCAACGGTCACTTTGTCGTGTCCAGTGTACAGTAGAGCTGTTGCGGTGTGGCGCGACAACTGTAGCGTCCGGTACATAGACTGTATAGACACGGTGAGTGAATCCGAGAGCAAGATATGCCTCGTCATATTTTCTGCATTTAGCTTTTGAATGACCAGCACCTGCCTGGGTCTGTGCAACTTCATCTATGGCTTTTCTCTTCCCTTTCACAAACCGATCCATCTCCCATTCTAAGTTACGTCCTTTGACTGTTTACTGTTTTATTTATTTTCTTTTTCTGCTGATGGAGTACGTTTGAAGTACGTTCATTATATATGTTTTCAAATATTTCCGCGTGTAACGTTAGCGTGCCAGGGTTGCCAGGTTTTCACAACAAAACCCGCCCAATTGCTACTCAAAACTAGCCCAATCACGTTTCGAGGGGGGTTCCACCGATAGAAATCGCGTTTTTGGAGGGGTTCCCCAAATCGCAGACTTGGCAACACTGTAGCGTGCCAACTTGATGCTTCCTCTGAAGACTGCTTAGATGTGTTCGACTTGAAGCAGCACTGCTTAGACCGATAGGTGTGTGTCATGAAAGTACTGCGAGAGCTATTAGAGAGCGCGGATGTCTCCTTATGCTTTCTCTTGCCGTACATACACCAAAGTCGAACACACCTCTTTACTCTCGCGTGTCACGTGTAATCGCAGCCTCTGCGATTGGAAAATCGTGTTTTTTCATATCGCGATATTATCGCAAATGTAATTAATCGTTCAGCCCTACTCTCCAGAGCAGTCTGCAGTCTGTCCCTCTCTGTCAGCTTCTCATTTCCCAGCCTCCTTATGTGGTCTCTCCATGCCAATTACTGAAACAAGACACAGGAATGTCTTGCAGGATGAATGAAGTGAAAGTTAAAACTCTCTCTACAATCCCTTTGGGTCATAAAGAAGTCTTGTCGATGTGTCTTTGTTGCCATGGTAACCAGAGGTTTGGTTCTGCCTGGGTGTTAGTTGCAGTTCAGGGGTAGTTCAGGTACTCTGGCACTTAGTTTGCTTGTTGGATGAAGGGCATTGGGGATTATTTATTAAATATAACAAATAATTATGTGTGGGGAAATAACTATGTGGAGGAGGTAGTTAGTTAGTTATTCGTTACACATTTTTTACTGTTTCCCATGAACACAAACAATTAAGTTCACTAATCTTTATTGCATTATATTAAAGGGGTCATATGATGCGATTTCAAGCTTTCCTTTCTCTTTGGAGTATTACAAGCTCTTGGTGCATAAAGAAATTCTGTAAAGTTGCAAAGACTAAAGTCTCAAATCCAAAGAGATATTCTTTATAAAAGTTAAGAGTCAGACACACCTACCTAAAATGGCTCGTTCTAACACGCCCCCACATATCTAGGTCACTATGTGGAAATATTAGTGTGTGTGTGTGTGTGTGTGAGGGGAACAGGGTCACATCACAGGAGAGTGAACTGTCTGTCAGAAATCATAGCACGTCAGCTGTCTTAACCGCGGCTTGTGTACGGCATCATCACTGTGTCTGTCACTCTGTTGCCCTTTCGGGTTTGAACTGATAGTAAAACTAACGACATTATTAACTGTCTTGATATTTACTTTGAAAGCTGACGCTCGCGATTATGGTAAGGTTTGTACATTTGGTACATTTCCGACGCGTGCTTGTGGTGTTCGGCCAAACACAATGCACTGGGTCAGCTGGCCAATCAGAGCAGACTGCGCTTGTCAAAGGAGGGGGCTTTGTAGAAAACGAAGCGTTTGACAGAGGCGGGGCATATAGGACCTACAATAATGTACAGTATTTGAAAAATAATGTGTTTTTTGAACATTAAAGCATGTCAACATATTCTGTTACACCAAATACACAAAATAATGATCTTTAAAATAGCATCATATGACCCCTTTAAGTAACAGTTCCATCACACAAATAAAAACTAAATTATAATGAGTAATATCAACAGAGCAGAAAAATTAAGATGACTGTGTTTTACTAAGTTAACAGTGCATCATCTTTTACAGCATACCTGGTGCCTCAAGGTAAAAGTAGAAGGTCATCCAACATTCTCACACTCAGCATTAGTGACCAAAACTCACCACATTTTTTGATGCCTTGTGTAAAGATCACTACATAATCTGAAGCCCTGTGTGAGGCTCTAGATAAACTAGATGTTTATCTTCACTTCTTTTGAAAATAAAATCAATAATTTCTTTAATATACTTCCACAGTCCCTTTTAATGAGACTAAATGAAACTGCAGAAGATAAAATACATACTACACAGGTCACTGTGTGATAGTGACATTTGATTGCCAAACTAATGTCACGTGGACTGTTCCCTGTGTATTTGTAGATTGTCTGGCTGTATGGTGACAGAGGAAGGCTGTCGTTATATATCTTCAGCTCTGAGTTTAAACCCTTCACATCTGATAGAGCTGGATCTGAGCTACAATAACCCAGGAGAATCAGGAGTCAAGCTGCTTTCTGATACACTAAACAATCCAAACTGCTTACTGGACAAACTCAAGTATGTCACGCTGCTGTGTGTGTAATCATTTCTATGGCCAATATTTGTTCTTATCCATATTTTTTTATCTTTGTGTCTGGATTGTGCCATATATTTTATTATTAATCTTCCCCCATTATAACTAGTATGGATCATGGAGGAGAATTCAGGATTACCGCAGGACTAAGCAAATGTACGTTCACACAAACTCAAATACGCCCACGCACACACACAAACACACACACACACAAGCACACATTGATTGTATATTTGTGATTGCTGTTGTTATAAATGTCTCTCTTCTTGTGTTCAGATGCCTGTGATCTTACACTTGATCCAAACACAGCAAATACTCATCTCATTCTCTCTGAGGAGAACAGAAAGGTGACACGGGTGGTAGAGAATCAGTCATATGCTGATCATCCAGACAGATTTGATGTGCGTCCTCAGGTTCTGTGTAGAGAGAGTCTGTCTGGACGCTGTTACTGGGAGGCTGAATGGAGTGGATATGCTGGAATATCAATGACATATAAGGGAATCAGCAGGAAAGGTTGGAGTCGTGACTGTGAGTTTGGATATGATAAAAATTCCTGGAGTCTGATCTGCTCTGATGGCACATTCATTGCTTTTCATAGTTATAAGCTAAACGTCATACGTGTCCCTTCAGAGTCCTCTAATAGAATAGGAGTGTATGTGGACATGTCAGCTGGCACTCTGTCCTTCTACAGCGTCTCTGACACAAACACACTCACACACTTACACACATTCAACAACACATTCACAGAGTCTCTTTATGCTGGAATTGGGTTTGGGTTTTACCATTTGAACTCCTCAGTATCTCTATATCAGATTGAAAAGTCTGTCAACAGAGACAGAAAGCTTTTACACACACCTGAATAAAAATACTCTCACTTTATATTGCTTTAATAATTGCATATACAATAATTGCATATGCATATATCCTGTTGACCTTCACACAAAAACAGATTTCTATCAGATTATTACTTCAACATTTAAACCAAAATGTTGGAGTATTTTGACAAACAAAAAAGGAACATGCTTTTTTTAAAAACACTGTTGTAGTTGATGGAAGAGAATTAATTTAACTAAAGTCAAGGGTCAGCTATCACCATAATGGTGACTTCAAATTAAAAAATTTCAGTAAAACAACAGACTAGCATTAAATCTCTCTTAATTTTCAATAAGAACTTTTGGAGAGAAGCTGTTAGAATGAATGTATTACCACGGCTCTTATTCCTTTTCCAGACCCTTCCATTGTCCCCTCCAGTATCCATGTTCTCTCGTCTAGATAAGCTGATTTCTAGATTCATCTGGCAAGGGAGGAGTCCCAGAGTCCGGTACAAAACATTGCAGCTACGTAAATCTCAAGGAGGCTGGGCGTTGCCAAACTTAAAAACTACTGGATAGCATCACAGTTGCGACCCACGGTAGTTTGGTTGTCTGACACTGTGGGGACTAGGTGGTTAGAAATTGAAAAATGTAATTCCAATCCTCACTCACTAGCAGCTTTTCCATTTAATGAAGAAAAGAAGATAAATATGTATAAACTGGGGAAATGGTGGCTTTCTTTGTTAACAAATATAACAGATAAAGAACTTCCCTAGTGAAAAAATTGTATACTTTAGTACACTTTATTCGTATGTACTTTAAGTATACCAATTTATATTGTGCCACAAATATATTTAGTTATACTAAAGTCTGCTAAATTGGAACAACTCATTTTGTACTAAATGGATTTTAGTTGTGCAAAAGCAGTGCTGAAGTTCAACTAAAGTTGTATTAAATATACTTGTTTGTGCTAAAGTGGAACTATTCCAAGTATACTTAAGTACACTTTAAATATCCACTCTTGTATTTAATTTTTGAAATGCAGAATAATTCATTCAGCATAAACTTAAAATGTATTTTGGTGACATTACAATTGCAATTCAGTTACACTATAAGAGTGTTGAACATACATTAATTTTATACTAATAACAAAACTGAGGTCATACTATCCCTTACTTTTAGTGACTTTAAAATGCATTGCAATGGCATTCCAAATAAACTTGAAGTGTGCTAATGGCACAATTATTGTGTGCTTCTAATGCAATAAATTAACCTTTATAAATAATGGCACAGCTTTTTACTAACACCCCCAGCATACCAATCAACTCAGTTATCCAGAGAACATCAGTGGAACATTGGCTGAAGGAAACACTGCGGACTGGATTTGAACCTGGGTCACCACCACACACGTGCACTCGCTTTACCAGATGCGCCACCAGAGCAGAGATAAACTGTGGTTACTTTGTAGTCACAGCACAAATTATATAGACTTAAAGACTGTGAATCGCCGAAAAGTCTTAATATTGGCGCAGTAAGCGGTGCGTGGAAATAAACGTGAAACGGCCTGTATAGAACACGAAAGTGCATTTAACTTGAAGCTGTTGAAGTCAGCGGACACAACATTAAATATCATCTGCAGAATGTTTTGCTTCCCATTTACCTGACATGATCTGTCATTAACGCTGCAGGAAACAATTGGATAAACCGGCATAACATTGTGTTTTAGTGCATGTACAAGAATAAAACTAGACAGTTCTGTTAGTTGGTGGAAGTACTGCTTATGTTTCAGTGCGTGCTGAAGGAATAAAACCATCCGTAACATCTCTGCCCATTGTCTCTGCACGCTTCAACTCTCAATGCACTGCACAAATGTTAATGTAAAATGCAATGAAATGTTTTGGCGGTTTGACGGTCTCGCAGTATGCTGCGGATTTATATGTAATTATTTTAATACATTTTGTTACTTTTCATGTAATTAACATCTCTGAATTTACTTGACATTTTCACTTTTTGTGTAGTTTTGAGGGCTGGTCAGGATCATTTTAATAATTTGTTTAACAATTCATAATATTTTGACAGCCCAAAGAGCTGCAGTCCACATTTCCAAGTGCAACATTGTCGTTGTCAATACGGCACATTAAAGAACCATTAATGGAAAAAAGTGGGTTGGTACAGGTGCATTGGAGTGTATTGGGAATATACTAAAGTAATAAACCTTCTGATCAAGTTTGTGAATTTATTTCACCATTTCAAATCCATGACTATATGTTGTTTACATATCTTTACTTTTGTAACTACTTTCTATATGTGACCAAGGACCACAAAACCAGTCATTATTTGAATTGAATGAATTAGCTTTCCATTGATGTATGGTTTATAAGAATAGGACAATATTTGGCCGAGATACAACTATTTGAAAATCTGGAATCTGAGGGTGCAAAAAAATCAAAATATTGAGAAAATTGCCTTTAAAGTTGTCCAAATGAAGTCCTTAGCAATGCATATTACTAATCAAAATTAAGTTTATATATATTCATGGTAGGAAATGTACAAAATATCTTCATTTAACATGATCTTTACTTAATATCCTAATGATTTTTGGTATAAAAGAAAAAATCTATAATTTTGACCCATACAATGTATTTTTGGCTACTGCAAATAAACCCATGCTACTTAAGACCGTTTTTTTTGGTCCAGGGTCACATATGTATGTAAAGCTGCTTTGCAACCATGCAAAATTGTGAAAAGCACTATTTGAAGTGTGGTTAAATTATTTAAAAGGTAAAGTTCATAACTATACAAAGTACTGCATCGTTATGAATTATGATTATAATTATTTGCAACTCAAAACATTTATTTTTATCTATACTATTTTTATACTCAAGTAGAACTCAAATACAGTGTATTGTATTGTACATTTAATCATAACAGGTCAACAGAGGATTCAACTAAGATAAATTACTGAAGTATACATACTGTATATATATATTGTGGCCATGAATTAAGAATTCAGTCCCTCGTTTTAATTAAAAGGTCCCCCTCGGCAGGTCCCCAATCAGCCTAGACCCATATGCACGTGTATACCCTGCATATCCAGAAGCTACGCCCCTGGAGTGACATGTCACCTTTAGAATTTAGTTTCATGTTTTTTTACATTCAATTTCTCAAGCAATTTTTGTTTGTTCCCCACACTCACGGTTACGTTCAAAATATATATTTTTTTTATCCTTGTTTTTATAATATTTGACATAACTTTTTTGTTTGTTTTTTGCTGTTTTATTGTATTATTGTCTTCATGCTGATTTCTGTCATTGGAGTTATAAATATAACTGCTGAAAGGATGCGTAAGTTGAGTTTCTGAAATTCATGTTTTAGACTCACATGTTTTAGACTTTAGACTGTTTTAGTGCTTCCTTTGGATGTAAGTCTTCAAGAGAAAAATAATCAAATCTGTGTTGGTTACATAATGATTGACATGGCAGTATGGGCCCTGACATTTATATGTACAATAACTATTTTTCTAATCAATAAATTAGACTGTGAAAAACATTTTGAATATGGTCTTCAACACTTCAGAGAAGATTTTAGAGTCATCAGCAGCAGCAGCAAACCCAACTAAAGCCTCCTATGGAAACTGTGTGTTAAAGGGGTTCTATTATGCTTTTTCACTTTTTTAATTTTAGTCAGTGTGTAGTGTGTATGTTTGGGCATAAAAAAAGATATAGAAATTTACAAATCTAAAAGTCCACTCCAAAGGGAGATATTGTTTGGACTACAGCGTTTGGTTTCCGGGCTTTGTGATATCACA